GGAATGGATGACCAAATCCCCTCAAGTCAACCACTGATTTAACTGTAAAAACACAATTTTAAACTGTTCTCAAATGAACATAGTCTCATATCAGGGGAGTTATCCTGTCCTGCCTACAGTCTCATCTCAAGGAGTTATCCTGTCCTAACTACAGTCTCATCTCACAGGAGTTATCCTGTCATAACTACAGTCTCATCTCACAGGAGTTACAGTGAGGGAAAAAGGTATTTGATCCCTTGCTGATTTTGTATGTTTGCCCACTGACAAAGACATGATCAGTCTATAATTGTAATGGTAGGTTTATTTGAACAGTGAGAGACAGAATAAAAACAACAAAAATCCAGAAAAACGCATGTCAAAAATGTTATAAATTGATTTGCATTTTAATGAGGGAAATAAGTATTTGACCCCTCTGCAAAACTTGACTTAGTACTTGGTGGCAAAACCCTTGTTGGCAATCACAGAGGTCAGACGTTTCTTGTAGTTGGCCACCAGGTTTGCACACATCTCAGGAGGGATTTTGTCCCACTCCTCTTTGCAGATCTTCTCCAAATCATTAAGGTTTTGAGGCTGACGTTTGGCAACTCGAACCTTCAGCTCCCTCCACAGATTTTCTATGGGATTAAGGTCTGGAGACTGGCTAGGCCACTCCAGGACCTTAATGTGCTTCTTCTTGAGCCACTCCTTTGTTGCCTTGGCCGTGTGTTTTGGGTCATTGTCGTGCTGGAATACCCATCCACGACCCATTTTCAATGCCCTGGCTGAGGGAAGGAGGTAATCACCCAAGATTTGATGGTACATGGCCCCGTCCATCGTCCCTTTGATGCGGTGAAGATGTCTTGTCCCCTTAGCAGAAAAACACCCCCAAAGCATAATGTTTCCACCTCCATGTTTGACGGTGGGGATGGTGTTCTTGGGGTCATAGGCAGCATTCCTCCTCCTCCAAACACGGCGAGTTGAGTTGATGCCAAAGAGCTCGATTTTGGTCTCATCTGACCACAACACTTTCACCCTGTTCTCCTCTGAATCATTCAGATGTTCATTGGCAAACTTCAGACGGGCCTGTATATGTGCTTTCTTGAGCAGGGGGACCTTGCGGGCGCTGCAGGATTTCAGTCCTTCACGGCGTAGTGTGTTACCAATTGTTTTCTTGGTGACTATGGTCCCAGCTGCCTTGAGATCATTGACAAGATCCTCCCATGTAGTTCTGGGCTGATTCCTCACCGTTCTCATGATCATTGCAACTCCACGAGGTGAGATCTTCCATGGAGTCTCAGGCCGAGGGAGATTGACAGTTATTTTGTGTTTCTTCCATTTGCGAATAATCGCACCAACTGTTGTCACCTTCTCACCAAGCTGCTTGGCGATGGTCTTGTAGCCCATTCCAGCCTTTTGTAGGTCTACACTCTTGTCCCTGACATCCTTGGAGAGCTCTTTGGTCTTGGCCTTGGTGGAGAGTTTGGAATCTGATTGATTGATTGCTTCTGTGGACAGGTGTCTTTTATACAGGTAACAAGCTGAGATTAGGAGCACTCCCTTTAATACTTTTTTCCCTCACTGTATGAAGGGAGAGAGAGAGTGGGGGTATGGAGAAAGAGACGGGAGAGAGAGAGAGAGAGAGAGTGAAAATAGACTTTTAGCACAAGCAGCCCATATGGGTGATTCATTTCATGCTTTACCATTACCAAGAAGAGAACAGCTTCAGCTTGGCTCACTCACCACTCTGGGAAATAAGCCTGGCTAAGTTTAGACCGGAAAGTTAAAGTGGTGTGCAAGTAGAGGTGCCGCCTGAAGGAAGTTCTTAATGTGATTGACGGAGAAGGCACAATGTCTCTCCTCTATGGTGAGTGTTGCACCTTCCCTCTGCATTCCTTACCTTAGTGTAATGCCATAGGGGGCAGAATTATCTCATTCCTTACCTTCCCTCTGCATTCCTTACCTTAGTGTAATGCCATAGGGGGCAGAATTATCTCATTCCTTACCTTAGTGTAATGCCATAGGGTGCAGAATTATCTCATTCCTTACCTTAGTGTAATGCCATAGGGTGCAGAATTATCTCATTCCTTACCTTAGTGTAATGCCATAGGGTGCAGAATTATCTCATTCCTTACCTTAGTGTAATGCCATAGGGTGCAGAATTATCTCATTCCTTACCTTAGTGTAATGCCATAGGGTGCAGAATTATCTCATTCCTTACCTTAGTGTAATGCCATAGGGGGCAGAATAATATAATGTCCTAAATCCAAAATTCTTGATGTGGAATTAACTCCAATCAAACACTGCCACTGAAAAGCATATCATTAAATCTGTAGGAAAACGTATCACCAATCATATGACCAACATCAGCAGCATTCCAGTGCTGACTCTGTCAAGGAAAGCTGTGTACACCATATAAGGCGCTTATTGCTAAGTGAGTGGATTTGGACTGAAGCTCCTGTAGTTTGTAAAGAGGATGGCTCAGATGTTGGATTAACATGTAGAAATATGCTGAGAATAAACACCAGAGTGAATGGGAGGAGGTGGGATGCTGAGAGCTAATGCGTTCTCCCGCTGTTATCAGATCTGCTATTGTTCAGTCTGAGATTTGGGGGGGTTTACACACTAATCGGATTGGAGTCTGTTTTTTATTCCTCCTGTTTTTTCTGTTCCCTCACTTTTTTGCGGAGTGATGAAAGTCTGAGGAGATCCCTCACTTCGGCTGTCAGGGTCTTACATGTTACTAGCCCAGCCGGAAATAGAGAGGGAGAGGGAGAGGGAGAGAGAGAGAGAGAGAGAGAGAGAGAGAGAGAGAGAGAGAGAGAGAGAGAGAGAGGAGAAGAGAGAGAGAGGAAGAGAGAGAGGAGAGAGAGAGAGAGCGAGCGATGAGAGAGAGAGAGAGAGAGAGAGAGAGAGAGAGAGAGAGAGAGATAGTTATGTGGGAGAAAGAGAGCGATAGAGATTTCATGAGCTGAAATAAAATATTCCAGAAATGTTCCAGATGCACAAAAAGCTTATTTCTCTCCAGTTTTGGGTACAAATGTATTTACATCCTTGTTAGTGAGCATTTCTCCTTTGCCAAGATAATCCATCCACCTGACAGGTGCGGCATATCAAGAAGCTGATTAAACAGCATGATCATTACACAGGTGCACCTTGTGCTGGGGACAATCAAAGGCCACTTTAAAATGTGCAGTTTTGTCACACAACACAATGCCACAGATGTCTCAAGTTTTGAAGGAGTGTGCAATTGGCATGCTGACTGCAAGAATGTCCACCAGAGCTGTTGCCAGAGAATTGAAGGTTCATTTCTCTACCATAAGCCAACTCCAATGTCATTTTAGAGAACGTCCAACCGGCCTCACAACCGCAGACAACGCCAGCCCAGGACCTCCACATCCGGCTTCTTCACCTGCGGGATCATCTGAGACCAGCCACCCGGACAGTAGATGAAACTGAGGAGTATTTATTTCTGTAATAAAGCCCTTTTGTGGGAAAAAAAATATTTCTGATTGGCTGGGCCTGGCTGCCCAGTGGGTGGGCCTGGCTCTCAAGTGGGTGGGCCTATGCCCTCCCAGACCCACCCATGGCTGTGCCCCTGCCCAGTCATGTGAAATCCATAGATTAGGGCCAAATGAATTTTTTGAAATTGACTGATTTCCTTATATGAACTGTAACTGTAAATTGTCGCATGTTGCGTTTATATATTTGTTCAGTATATGTTTCACAAGTTTTGCCAGCACAGGACAGTCCGGTACCGTACATTACAGTACACAGTACAATAAAGAAAAGTACATTACAATATAATACAGTAGAGTAGAGTACAATACAGTAGAGTGGAGTACATTACAATACAGTACAGTACAGAAAAGTACAGTACAGTACAATACAGTACAGTACAGCACAATACAGTAGAGTACAGTACAATACAGTAAAGTACAGGACAATATAATACAGTAGAGTAGAGTACAATACAGTAAAGTAGAGTACAGCACAATACAGTAGAGTACAGCACAATACAGTAGCGTAAAGAAAAGTAAAATATAGTATACTGTATTGTACCCTACTTTACTCTAATGTACTCTACTCTACTGAACTAAACTGTACTGTACTCTACTCTACTGTACTGTAATGTACTGAATTAAACTGTACTGTACTGTGCTCTACTGTGCTATACTGTACTCTACTGTACTCTACTCTACTGTACTGTGATGTTAAAACGTGTGAAACAACCTACAGGACGGTAGCTCTCCAGGAACAGGGCTGGAGAGAGAACCTACAGGACGGTAGCTCTCCAGGAACAGGGCTGGAGAGAGAAGCTACAGGACGGTAGCTCTCCTGGAACAGGGCTGGAGAGAGAACCTACAGGACGGTAGCTCTCCAGGAACAGGGTTGGAGAGAGAACCTACAGGACGGTAGCTCTCCTGGAACAGGGTTGGAGAGAGAACCTACAGGACGGTAGCTCTCCAGGAACAGGGTTGGAGAGAGAACCTACAGGACGGTAGCTCTCCAGGAACAGGGCTGGAGAGAGAACCTACAGGACGGTAGCTCTCCTGGAACAGGGTTGGAGAGCCCTGCCCTAGACATCTATGATTAGTTCAGATCTGGATCTGTTCGGCACAGACCAAATTTCTACTTGTTCGGGGGGCGGAGCACAATAGAATAATACCCAGTGTGCTTTGCAAGTGTTTGTTTTTCATAGGTATTTTCGACGTCTGGAAAATACTTATTTTCACCTTTCATTCAGCACCTAAAATGCACTTGATTTCAATGTCTGAAAAATACGTCTAAAATACGTATTTTCAATGTCATTTTCCTTACTGGGATGATTGTCAGAGAGGGGGGAGAATGAAGAAATGGCTGCACACCCTGTAGTGCTCAAGGACTACAGGATCTATCATGCCATTATAGCTCAACACTGTCACCCTGTGGTGGAAAATGGAACTTCACACACTTCTCTATAATGCTCTATTTTACAGCACTAGACTAGTTTAACTTGTCTTGACTTTCCAGGTCTGCTCGGCATGGTGGCCCACATGATGTTCACCACAGCCTTTCAGCTGACAGTCAGTATGGGGCCAGAGGACTGGAAGCCTCAGTCATGGGACTACAGCTGGTCATACATGTAAGAGCACGCACGCACACACACACACACACACACACACACACACACACACACACACGCACACACACACACACACACACACACACACACACACACACACACACACACACACACACACACACACACACACAGTCTTGTACAACTAACCTTGTGGGGACACAAAATTCAGTCCCATTCAAAATCCTATTTTCCCTAACCCTAATCCTAACTCTAACCCTTACCCTAACCCTAACCCTAAACCCCCTAGAAATAGCATTTGACCTTGTGGGGACTAACAAAATGTCCCCAGTTGGTCAAATTTATGTTTGTTTACTATTCTTGTGGGGACTTCTGGTCACCTCAGGTTGGAAGACCATACTTCTCATAGATTTTTTTCAGAATTTGTTAGGCATTTTCTTCATTCACTCTGTGTCTACCATTTCCTTAATTCACTCTGTGTCTACCATTTCCTTCATTCACTCTGTGTCTACCATTTCCTTCATTCACTCTGTGTCTACCATTTCCTTCATTCACTCTGTGTCTACCATTTCCTTCATTCACTCTGTGTCTACCATTTCCTTCATTCACTCTGTGTCTACCATTTCCTTCATTCACTCTGTGTCTACCATTTCCTTCATTCACTCTGTGTCTACCATTTCCTTCCTTCTTCTTTTCTAGCCTGGCGTGGAGCTCGTTCACAGCTTGCATGGCCTCCTCTGTCACCATCATCAACCGCTACACCAAGACCATCCTGGAGTTCAAACACAAGCGCAGGAACGTCCAGAAGAACCTGAAGATCAAGCAGAATCTTCTTGAGCTGGACTCTGGACCAGGGGTTGGGATGGGACACGTCGGACATGGGGGTCACGTGGAGCAAGTGTGGGACATGTACATCAGCTCAGTTCCCAACTCAGGCTGCACGGCAGAGGAACTGCTGGATCTCTCCAGTAATGGCAGGAAGCTGTCCAACGCGTCAGTGTTTCTGGACCTGAATGATCTGCCAGATCCGATAAGAGAAGATTACTTCTGAGAGAGGACTAGGGGACTGATCAAGGCACACGCAAATACACATATACAAACGCAAACACATACAAACACACACACAGTCCATTCCAAACAAGGACAGTATCCCTACCAGAGAAAATATATTCCACCTCCACTGCCGCTTGGCTCAGTCATGTACTCTGACTGTTCAGGGTGCTGCTGGCGCTGACAACGCTTCGATATCGCTGTTTTTGTTTATTAAGTATCTAGTAACTATGTTTAAGGGTATATTTGTTTTACGGTATTACCTGTATGCATTGATTTGCCGAAGCTGTGGTTTTCCGTGTGTATGTGTGTGCGCATGGATGTGTGTGAATGTGAATTTTATGCGAATATTCCTAATTTGCCTTTTCTACTGAGGACATAACACTAAGATAGACATGTTTTCCTACAGCATTCCTCTGTGGAAACACTGTTGAGCTGATGCCAGCTTTGATATACTTCAATAGAATGACACAGAGACACTTCCTCTCTATTGGAATGATTCCGTCGTGCACTGCAACACCGTTTACAAACCAAATAGCATTAGCAACAGTGACTTCATGTTAGAGGAGATCCAACTCTAAGTTTCCCTGACGTTCCAAGTTGAAGTAGAGATGTGTAGAGGATGAGAGAGAGAGAGAGAGAGAGAGAGAGAGAGAAAGAGAGAGAGAGAGAGAGAGAGAGCGAGAGAGAGAGAGAGACAGAGAGAGAGAGAGAAAAAGAGAGAGAGAGAGAGAGAGAGAGAGAGTGCCTTTAGAAAATATTCATACCCCTTGACTTATTCCACATTTTGGTGTGTTGCAGCCTAAATTCAAAATTTATTAAATATATTTTTTCCCTCACCCAGCTGCACACAGCTACACACACTATACCCTATAATGACAAAGTGAAATCATGTTTTAAAAAATGTTGGCAAATGTATTGAAAATGAAATACAGTATTCACACCCCTGAGTCAATACTTTGTAGAAGCACCTTTGGCAGTGATTACAGCTGTGAGTCTTTCTGGGTAAGTCTCTAAGAGCTTTCCACACCTGGATTGTGCAACATTTGTCCATTACGCTTTTCAAGCTCTGTCAAATTGGTTGTTAATCATTCCTAGACAACCATTGTCAAGTCTTGCCATAGATTTTCAAGTAGATTTAAGTCAAAACTATAACTCGGCCACTCAGGAACATTCACTGTCTTCTTTGTAAGCAACTCCAGTGTAGATTTGGCCTTGTGTTTTAGCTTATTGCCCTGTTGAAGGGTGAATTAATCTCCCAGTGTCTGGTGGAAAGCAGACTGAACCAGGTTTTCCTCTAGGATTTTGCCTGTGCTCAGCTCCATTCTTTTTATTTTTTTATCCTGAAAAACTCCCCAGTCCTTAACGATTAGAACCATACACATAGCATGATGCTGAGTGGTACTCAGTGATTTGTTATATTGGATTTGCCCCAAACGTAATACTTTGTATTCAAGACCAAATGTTAATTGCTTTGCTACATTTTTTGCAGTATTACTTTAGTGCCTTGTTGCAAACAGGATGCATGTTTTGGAATATTTTTATTCTTTACAGGCTTCCTTCTTTTCACTCTGTCAATTAGGTTAATATTGTGGAGTAACTACAATGCTGTTGATCCATCCTCAGTTATCTCCTTTCACAGCCATTAAACTAACTGTTTTAAGGTCACCATTGGCCTCATGGTGAAATCCCTGAGCAGTTTCCTTCCTCTCTGGCAACTGAGTTAGGAAGGACACCTGTGTCTTTGTAGTGACTGGGTGTATTGATACACCATCGAAAATGTGATTAATAACTTCACCATGCTCAAAGGGATGTTAAATGTCTGCTTTTTACATTTTTACCAATATATCAATAGGTGCTCTTCTTTGCGATGCATTGGAAAACCTCCCCGGTCTTTGTTGTTGAATCTGTGTTTGAAATTCACTGCTCAACTGAGGGACCTTGCAGATAATTGTATGTGTGGGTTACAGAGATGAGGTAGTCATTCAAAAATCATGTTAAACACTATTATTGCACACAGAGTGGGTCCATGCAACTTATTATGTGACTTGTTAAACTTGTTAAGCAAATGTTTACTCCTGAACTTATTTAGGCTTGCCATAACAAGGGGTTGAATACTTATTGACTCAAGACATTTCAGCTTAATTTTTTTTAGTAATTAAACATTTCAAAAAAACATAATTCCACTTTGACATTATGTGGTATTGTGTGTAGGCCAGTGACAAAAGAAACCCGCAATTTAATTCACTTTAAATGCAGGCTGTAACACAACAAAGTGTGGAATAGTCAAGGGGTGTGAATACTTTCTGAAGGCACTGTAGATAAAGGATGAGGGTAGAGATAATTGCCAGGTCATGCTGTGTGCCTTTGATTCCAGCTCCTGTATTGTGATCAACTTCAGAAAGCATGCAGAGCGCAGAGAGGGAGACTCTCTGTTACCGACTTCTATTCCTATTGTTGTGTCTCTAATGAGACACCGGAGATTGTAGCTATGTAGCCCAAACGGACAAAACCATTATGATTTCCTGCTCTTTCTTTTCACGTCCAGATAGATGCATTGCTTTTTTTGTGTGTGTGGATTTCTAGGAAATAAAAATGTTTACTTGACAATTGTAGTGAAATAATGAAGGCTACGTCTATAATTGTATTATTATATTGCATTGTACACGTTATAGACTTGAAGTTGAATGAACCAGCATCAGAGAATTGTATTTCAAAACAGTATTTAAGATATGTAGGATTTATACTTTCCTAGTTAGTATAACTACCTGGCTTAAAGTTTATTTGATAATGTATTTGTGTATATAATGTATATTGTGTTTTCTTATTTATTTATTAACATTCAAATACATTTATTTAATTTAAATGTTGAATTAAGTGAGTCTTTTAAAGATATTTCACATTTTCCTGCCAATTTTAATTTCTTCTTCCTCGTTCATTTCCAGTAAGTCTCAGATGGTCATACTCCTTTATGTGTGTTTGGTGTCAGATATTTATTTTCAGTAACATATTTTGTGTTTAGTGCTATTTTGGTAACTTTCTGTGTGATCAATAGCAATGATTAACTTAAATGATAGGAGTTATATGTTAAAATGTACAGAATATTCATAATTTTATATCAAAGATACAAGGGCAAATTATAAAACATAAAATAAAGTCACGTGTTTTAGTAACTTGTTTCTTGCCAAAATACAATTGTTTATATTGTTACGTACTAATAAAGTTCCTTGTTGATAACAGAAATAAAATGATACATTTTTATACAAAGTCTAAATTATTATTAAGTATTAAATAAATTATGTGAGAGGGAGGCAACAGTTTTGGGAAAAGATTGCACAGTTCTTCAAATGTCCACTGGAGGGTACAGTTTCCCCATTTCTGTCACCTTGGCAGTCTGCCTTATTGCTCAATCGAGGTCAACGTTCTTCTTCCTTTCTCTCTCTCTCTTAATAGACACGACTACCTCGTTTACATTTTAGTCATCTCATCCAGAGCGACTTACGGTAGTGAGTACATACATTTTCATACTGGTCCCCGGGGGGAATCAAACCCACAACCCTGCAATTGCAAGTGTCATGCTCTACTAACTGAGCCACATTGGAGCCAGAACAGTTTTGACAGTATAACGATACAATGTGACATTTGCTTCAAAATCTGTTTTATTGATTTTTTATGTTTTTAAACTAGTGCAAATACATGCAGAAAATGAGACGGGTTCTACAGCAGCCCGTTGGAACCAAAAAGCTTCTGTTGAAGGAAACATCAACTGATACCAATATATTGGTTCAATATGTCACATTCATCCATAGTTATATTTTGGTTGTCCTCCTATGGTGGGCTATCCAGGTTAGGATGAAGATGCCACTAGACGGTGAACTAAGGTCAGTTTAGTGTTTCCTTGCCTGAACTGATGCTAGATCTGTGCCTATGGTCAACCTCAACCCGGAAAGGTCAGATACATTTGAGTTCCTCTTAATTCACTTATGCACATTCATTATTCAACAACGATGCAAAACCACTCAGTCAAATCTGAGCACTTATAAAGCTGCTACTCATACTTCTTCTCACTGCTTCCTACATGAAATATTCATCCCCCTGTATACTTAAGCAATAAGGCCCGACGGGGTGTGGTATGTGGCCAATATACCACGGCTAAGAGGCTGTTCAAAAGCACGACGCAACGCAATATACCACAAACACCCGAGGTGCCCTTATTGCTATTATAAACTGGTTACCAACGTAATTACAACATTAAAAATAAATGTTTCGTCATACCAATCAGCATTCAGGGCTCGAACCACCCAGTTTATAATATGTATGGATTGCCTGCAGCTATTTTAATCCATAGGCTAAAGCACAGACTGAATAGCTATAAGTTGTATTAAAAGGAAGGGCAACAGGAATGTGTAACTCCATGAAGCATGGTAAGACAACTATCTTGTTTATGTTTTGTTCAGTGTTTCACTAATTTGCGGAAACATCCGCAGGAGGTTGCTAAAACAGCACACGTCAGCCTACACTGCAGACTACACATCCCACAGCAACGCTCTTCACTCCTGGTGGGCCACCGTGTGTACAAGACAAGAACGCAAGGTGTTTTCAAACGCAGCTTAAGTGGCACTTTTTTTTTCTTTTCGTTGAACATCTATTAGATACTGAAAGATAACTAGCGTAGAGATGGTCTTTCTGTATTGTTTCCCTCGCTACCCAGAGGTCTATAAACATTGGATTTAGTTCCCAGCACAGAGCCACTTCCGTATCAACAGTATAAGGCTATGTCATTACTCTGTATGTGTCTATGTCATCAATCTGTATGTGTCTATGTCATCACTCTGTATGTGTCTATGTCATCACTCTGTATGTGTCTATGTCATCACTCTGTATGTGTCTATGTCATCACTCTGTATGTGTCTATGTCATCACTCTGTATGTGTCTATGTCATCACTCTGTATGTGTCTATGTCATCACTCTGGATGTGTCTATGTCATCACTCTGTATGTGTCTATGTCATCACTCTGTATGTGTCTATGTCATCACTCTGTATTTGTCTATGTCATCACTCTGTATGTGTCTATGTCATCACTCTGTATGTGTCTATGTCATCACTCTGTCTATGTCATTACTCTGTATGTGTCTATGTCATCACTCTGTCTATGTCATTACTCTGTATGTGTCTATGTCATTACTCTGTATGTGTCTATGTCATCACTCTATGTGTCTATGTCATCACTCTGTATGTGTCTATGTCATCACTCTGTATGTGTCTATGTCATTACTCTGTATGTGTCTATGTCATCACTCTGTATGTGTCTATGTCATCACTCTGTCTATGTCATCACTCTGTATGTGTCTATGTCATCACTCTGTATGTGTCTATGTCATCACTCTGTATGTGTCTATGTCATCACTCTGTATGTGTCTATGTCATCACTCTGTATGTGTCTATGTCATCACTCTGTATGTGTCTATGTCATCACTCTGTCTATGTCATCACTCTGTATGTGTCTATGTCATCACTCTGTATGTGTCTTTGTCATTACTCTGTCTATGTCATTACTCTGTATGTGTCTATGTCATTACTCTGTCTATGTCATCACTCTGTATGTGTCTATGTCATCACTCTGTATGTGTCTATGTCATCACTCTGTATGTGTCTATGTCATTACTCTGTATGTGTCTATGTCATTACTCTGTCTATGTCATCACTCTGTATGTGTCTATGTCATCACTCTGTATGTGTCTATGTCATTACTCTGTATGTGTCTATGTCATCACTCTGTATGTGTCTATGTCATCACTCTGTCTATGTCATCACTCTGTATGTGTCTATGTCATCACTCTGTATGTGTCTATGTCATCACTCTGTATGTGTCTATGTCATTACTCTGTATGTGTCTATGTCATTACTCTGTATGTGTCTATGTCATCACTCTGTATGTGTCTATGTCATCACTCTGTCTATGTCATCACTCTGTATGTGTCTATGTCATCACTCTGTATGTGTCTATGGCATTACTCTGTATGTGTCTATGTCATCACTCTGTATGTGTCTATGTCATCACTCTGTATTTGTCTATGTCATCACTCTGTATGTGTCTATGTCATCACTCTGTATGTGTCTATGTCATCACTCTGTATGTGTCTATGTCATCACTCTGTCTATGTCATCACTCTGTATGTGTCTATGTCATCACTCTGTATGTGTCTATGTCATTACTCTGTATGTGTCTATGTCATCACTCTGTATGTGTCTATGTCATCACTCTGTATGTGTCTATGTCATCACTCTGTATGTGTCTATGTCATCACTCTGTATGTGTCTATGTCATTACTCTGTATGTGTCTATGTCATCACTCTGTATGTGTCTATGTCATCACTCTGTCTATGTCATCACTCTGTATGTGTCTATGTCATCACTCTGTATGTGTCTATGTCATCACTCTGTCTATGTCATCACTCTGTATGTGTCTATGTCATCACTCTGTATGTGTCTATGTCATTACTCTGTATGTGTCTATGTCATCACTCTGTATGTGTCTATGTCATCACTCTGTATGTGTCTATGTCATCACTCTGTATGTGTCTATGTCATCACTCTGTATGTGTCTATGTCATCACTCTGTATGTGTCTATGTCATCACTCTGTATGTGTCTATGTCATCACTCTGTATGTGTCTATGTCATCACTCTGTATGTGTCTATGTCATCACTCTGTATGTGTCTATGTCATTACTCTGTATGTGTCTATGTCATCACTCTGTATGTGTCTATGTCATCACTCTGTCTATGTCATCACTCTGTATGTGTCTATGTCATCACTCTGTATGTGTCTATGTCATCACTCTGTATGTGTCTATGTCATCACTCTGTATGTGTCTATGTCATCACTCTGTCTATGTCATCACTCTGTATGTGTCTATGTCATCACTCTGTATGTGTCTTTGTCATTACTCTGTCTATGTCATTACTCTGTATGTGTCTATGTCATTACTCTGTCTATGTCATCACTCTGTATGTGTCTATGTCATCACTCTGTATGTGTCTATGTCATCACTCTGTATGTGTCTATGTCATTACTCTGTCTATGTCATCACTCTGTATGTGTCTATGTCATCACTCTGTCTATGTCATCACTCTGTATGTATCTATGTCATCACTCTGTATGTGTCTATGTCATTACTCTGTATGTGTCTATGTCATCACTCTGTATGTGTCTATGTCATCACTCTGTATGTGTCTATGTCATTACTCTGTATGTGTCTATGTCATCACTCTGTATGTGTCTATGTCATCACTCTGTATGTGTCTATGTCATCACTCTGTCTATGTCATCACTCTGTATGTGTCTATGTCATTACTCTGTATGTGTCTATGTCATCACTCTGTATGTGTCTATGTCATCACTCTGTCTATGTCATCACTCTGTATGTGTCTATGTCATTACTCTGTATGTGTCTATGTCATCACTCTGTATGTGTCTATGTCATCACTCTGTCTATGTCATCACTCTGTATGTGTCTATGTCATCACTCTGTATGTGTCTATGTCATCACTCTGTCTATGTCATCACTCTGTATGTGTCTATGTCATCACTCTGTATGTGTCTATGTCATCACTCTGTATGTGTCTATGTCATCACTCTGTCTATGTCATCACTCTGTATGTGTCTATGTCATCACTCTGTATGTGTCTATGTCATTACTCTGTATGTGTCTATGTCATCACTCTGTATGTGTCTATGTCATCACTCTGTATGTGTCTATGTCATCACTCTGTATGTGTCTATGTCATCACTCTGTATGTGTCTATGTCATCACTCTGTATGTGTCTATGTCATCACTCTGTATCTGTCTATGTCATCACTCTGTATGTGTCTATGTCATCACTCTGTATGTGTCTATGTCATCACTCTGTATCTGTCTATGTCATCACTCTGTATGTGTCTATGTCATCACTCTGTATGTGTCTATGTCATCACTCTGTATGTGTCTATGTCATCACTCTGTATGTGTCTATGTCATCACTCTGTATGTGTCTATGTCATCACTCTGTATGTGTCTATGTCATCACTCTGTATCTGTCTATGTCATCACTCTGTATGTAGCCATTTCTGGGTTTATCAAAGATAGGGGGCAATAATGAAAACAACAGGTGGCATCCTTACCTTTTTTTAATAAAAGTGAAATTAGTGCTGTGTTCACATCTCTTCCAAATGAACCATTGTGAACGGCTGTATTAATCGTTTCGAGCAATAGTGGACCTAATTGATTCCAAAATATTAAATAGACCTCAGGAGGAATACCGTCCCATCCAGGTGATTTGCCTTTATTCATGCTATCCAATGCCCCTTTGAGTTCATTGAGAGAGATTTGGGATCCCAGTGAGGTGGCTTCCTCTGTTGAAAGAAGAGTTCTTTATTATTTTAGAAAGGACTTGGTGTGGATTTACAATCGGAGGTGTACAGTTATTTATAAAAGCAGGAGAATCTTTGATTGATTAATTTGGGTTCTGATAGTAATTCCCCTGTTTCAGATTCAATAGTTGCTATATCAGCTAATCATTTATTACTGCGTAGCTTGTTGGCCAGTAAACGACTGGGATGATTACCATGGAAGTAATGGTTGAGTCTTACTCAATGGATGGCAAATTCTGCTCTCTGTCTTATCAATAAATTAAGTTATGTCTTGACTTTGGAAAGAGTAATAGCTACCTGGTCTGAAAAGAGTGTTTGTTGAGAATGCTCTAACAGTTAACAACATTTCCAATTCTGATATCTTCTTTAATTGTGATTTATTCAACCCAGATACAAATGTATTATCTTTAAGAAAAACCTATGGTGGCATACCATAGAATCCTGGGGTCATCAACCTAATTTTTATTGATCATTATGAATGAATTTAGCTCAATTTCAAATTGATCACAGAATGTAGGATTTTGTGGCAATGAAACGTTGAAACGCCATCGTGTGGGTCTTTTAGGAGATTCTGAAATTTGAAGTTGGCAGTAGTAAGCAGGGTGGTCAGACAAGCTCATATGTCGAATTTCTATTTTCTTGATTAAAGAAAATAGAGGTGTAGATAACAGTATGAAATCGATTCGTGAGAATGATTTACGCCTGTTTGAGTAGAAAGTGTACTCTTTTGCTTTAGGATTATGTGCTCGCCAGGCATCAACGAGGTTGTAATCAGAGAGCACATACTGTGGATTGTAGTTGGTCTTGTTAGATTTGTCCCGCATGTCCAAAATGGCATTCATGTCTGTCCCTTTGAACCATGCCTGAGTGTCTTTGCTACTCTGGATGCATGTTTCACCTTGATATCCCTACTGAGTCCTCATTGCCATCCAAAGTTCTGGCCAGTCATCTGGTAGAACCGCTGGTTGTGCGGCCTGTAGAACTCCCTCAGTCTCCGGATCACTTCCGGGTCAATGGAGATGTGTGTCCGGCCTTTAGTCTTTCCCAGGCAGTGGGGCTTGCTGCTGCCCTCCGGTTTCTTCAGGCAGGGGAAACCTTTAGTCTTATTGAAGTAGAAGTGCTTGTCCGTCACAATCCTCTGTAGGCCCAGAAAGTCCTGGACCTTTCCTAGTTCTCCAGCTGGGTCGGAGATGAGGCCCTCCCCACTGACCAGATGGATCTGGGCTCGGGGGAACCAGGCCAGCCAGCGCTCCAGGTGCTGGGCGTACAGTCCAATCCACAGAGGGCTCCACAGAGAGTCTATCTCACCTGGGACCAAGACAAGATACAGTTACTGGTTTTAGACTTAGAATGGAGGACTGAAGACAGGACTGAAGAATAGAGTCTTTGTGTGGGTACTGCATTTGATTAGGGAAAAACTATGTTTTTGTGTCATTCATTCATCAATGAATTAATTCATTCATTCATGCATTCATCCATCCAACCATCCATTAATTCATTCCTTTATTCATAGGCCTATACAAATAAAAATGCATCACTATAATTCTGACCATTGGTGCGGTTCTTGAAGGCGAGTGTCTCGAAGGTGGGGATGTGGGGGGTCTTGGAGATGATCTGGGTGTAGTCAGAGACGGCCCGGGTCACAGGGTCTCGGACCACCACAATCAGCTTCACGTCACGCGACATGGAGTGTACACGTCCCGGGGTCTCCACGGTAACAAAATAACGCGGTGTCTTCTCCACGACGACCTGGCCATCCAAGGCCTTGGGCATCATACTCCTGGGGGATGGGGGAGGGAGAGAAAGGGAAAAAAAGAAAGAAAGAACGATAGATACAGTCTGTTTAGTGTTTAAATTGTATAACTTTGAGTATTAAAGCCATCTGTAAATGTAATGACTGGAAGCTCTAATTATACAATACACAGACCTCTATGTACTGGCCATGGGTCTGTTTGGGTATGACAACAACAACAAACATTATTCCTAGATCTATAGATGTTGTAGGTTGTACAGTGGTTGTACAGTGGTTGTACAGTGGTTGTACAGTGGTTTTACAGTGGTTGTATAGTGGTTGTACAGTGGTTGTACAGTGGTTGCACATTGGTTGTACAGTGGTTGTACAGTGGTTGTACAGTGGTTGTATAGTGGCCGCACAGTGCCTTCAAGAGTATTCACACCCCTTGACTTTTTTCCACATTTTGTTGCGTTACAGCTTGAATTTAAAATTGATTAAATTGAGATTTTGTGTCACTGGCCTACACACAATACCCCGTAATGTCAAAGTGTAATTATGTTTTTCGAAATGTTTACAAATGAATTACAAATGAAAAGTTGAAATGTCTTGAGTCAAAAAGTATTCAACCCCTTTGTTATAGCAAGCCTAAATAAGTTTAGGAGTAAAAATGTGCTTAACAAGTCACATAATAAGTTGGACTATAATCCATTTTTTTAATGACTACCTCATCTCTATACCCCACACAGTGGAGGCTCCTCAGATGAGGAAGGGGAGGACCATCCTCCTTAGTGAATTTCATAAAAAATGTCATTTTTAGAGAAAACTATACTAAATATATTCACGTCACCAAATAATTGATTAAAACACACTATTTTTCAATGAAGGTCTACAGTAGCCTCAGCAGCACTCTGTAGGGTAGCACCATGGTGTAGCCGGAGGACAGCTAACTTCTGTCCTCCTCTGGGTACATTGACTTCAATACAAAACCTAGGAGACTCTTGGTTCTCACCCCCTTCCATAGACTTACACAGTACTTATGACAACTTCCGGAGGATGTTCTCCAACCTATCAGAGCTCTTGTAGCATGAACTGACATGTTGTCCACCCAATCAAAGGATCCGAGAATTAATCTAGTACTGCATAAGCTACAGCTAGCTAGCACTGCAGTGCATAAAATGTGGTGAGTAGTTGACTCAGAGAGAGAAAGACAACAGTTGAATAGTTTTGAACAAATTAATGTATTCCAAAATTAAGGAGAAGCAAGAGAGAGAGAGAGAGAAGAGAGAAGAGAGAAGAGAGAAGAGAGAAGAGAGAAGAGAGAGAGAGAGAGAGAGAGAGAGAGAGAGAGAGAGAGAGAGAGAGAGAGAGAGAGAGAGAGAGAGAGAGAGAGAGAGAGAGAGAGAGAGAGCTAGCTATATTTTTTTTAGCTACCCAAACACCAGGCTCAAACAGAGAGGGATGCTATGTTAGCTAGCTGGCTATGGCTATCCAACACTGGAACTCTTCCAAGTCAAGGTAAGCTTTTATTAATTTATTGCCACCGGGGCACGCCGGTGTAACTGCTAAACTGCGTTCTGACTGTACACTGTACTGCATGATTGTAGCGCGTTTACTAACAAGTTAGTTCTAGTAGCGATGTTGACTGTGAGGTGACAACGATATAGGCTGTGCGTAGCGGTTAGAATAATTTTTAAGAGAATAATGTGCAGATATTGTTCAATCCAGGTGTGCAAAGCTCTTAGAGTCTTACCCAGAAAGACTCACAGCTGTAATCGCTGCCAAAGGTGATTCTAACATGTATTGACTCAGGGGTGTGAATACTTACTGTATGTAAATGAGATATTTCTGTATTTCATTTTCAATAAATGTGAAAACATTTCTTAAAACATGTTTTCACTTTGTCATTATGAGGTATTGTTTGTAGATGGGTGAGAGAGAAAAAAAAATCCATTGTAATCCATTTTGAAGTCAAGGGGTATGAATACTTTCTGAAGGCCTTGTACAGGCTACAGCAATCATAGAGGGATACTGAAATGCATGAGCACACGTGCACACACACACACACACACACACTCACACACACACTCACACACTCACACATACACTCACACAATCATACACACACATACACAGGGTTATATAAATATCACACCACATCCTATCACTTCGACACTAGCAGATGGTCCTCATTTAGCAGCAATGACTCCTGGGCCCCACCGGACCACATGGAGAACCAGGTACATCAGCAATGACTCCTGGGCCCGACCGGACCACATGGAGACCCAGGTACACCTATCACACACCTCGCTGACCACACCTGTTATTTCCCCGGTTGCTGCGTCATATTTCGCTAATAATTATGGGATCCATTTTGAGGAGGCAGTTGGGGATGATGATGATGATGATGATGATGATGATGATGGAGAGATGGAGGGATGGAGGGGGAGAGAGAGGAGAGAGGGGACATAGAGAGGACAGGATTCTTGTGGATGAGGTTTCACTCCCCCACAACATTTGAGCACATGTGAAAGTTGAAATGACAAATGTTAGAACACTTTACTTTAAAAGGCATAATTTATATTAATTAAATTTAAACAGTCATGTTCCGCTGCAGGTTTTGTCTAGTTCCCGCTTTGTTCCAGGGACGTCCCTACAACGTTGTGTCATGGTCCCATGGAGGTTTTTATCTAGTTCCCGCTTTGTTCCAGGGACGTCCCTACAACGTTGTGTCATGGTCCCATGGAGGTTTTTGTCTAGTTCCCGCTTTGTTCCAGGGACGTCCCTAGAACGTTGTGTCATGGTCCCATGGAGGTTTTGTCTAGTTCCCGCTTTGTTCCAGGGACGTCCCTAGAACGTTGTGTATTGGTCCCATTTAGGTTTTTGTCTAGTTGCGGTGAAAATACAGTACATCTACAACAACATTACTGTATTTCTACAGCTAAATTAAGGTGTTAATTGACAGTATGCTGATTACTTGGTACTCAACCTCACTTGGGATTTAAACTTACAACCTCTTGGATGCTAGCTATCTGAAATTCCTGCTGAGCCACCAGGTCTAAGAGCAACTTAATGGAGATTGGCATTATAATTATTGCCAAGAATACATTTCAGCACTTTTACTTTTTGTAAAAAATTAATTAAATATATACAACAACTTGAAGGTGCTATCTCTATAAAATGACAGTATGCTGCTGTAGTCTGGTATAAATTACTGTAAAATATTGTATAATTTTGTCCTGTGAACAAAATTGGGACTTCAAAAGGGATTTGAACTCGTAACTTCTTGGTCGCAAGCAACTTGAAACTTCCTGCTACAGTGCAGCTACACCACCAGATCTGTGAGCGTAAAAGAGATACGGCCACAGACTTAATGGCAGGAATCCATTTCTGCACTTAGCTAAAAGATGCCCAGAATCAAGTAAATACAGTGGGGGAAAAAAGTATTTTGTCAGCCACCAATTGTGCAAGTTCTCCCACTTAAAAAGATGAGAGAGGCCTGTAATTTTCATCATAGGTAGAAGAGGATTGGGAGAATGTCATATGGTCAGATGAAACCAAAATAGAACTTCTTGGTAAAAACTCAACTCGTCGTGTTTGGAGGACAAAGAATGCTGAGTTGCATCCAAAGAACACCATACCTACTGTGAAGCATGGGGGTGGAAACATCATGCTTTGGGGCTGTTTTTCTGCAAAGGGACCAGGACGACTGAAAAACAAGGAAAACCTTGTGAAGACTTACAGAAAACGTTTGACCTGTGTCATTGCCAACAAAGGGTAGATAACAAAGTATTGAGATACTTTTGTTATTGACCAAATACTTATTTTCCACCATAATTTGTAAATAAATTCATTAAAAATCCTACAATGTGATTTTTTGAGAAAAAAAATCTCATTTTGTCTGTCATCTTTTTAAGTGGGAGAACATGCACAATTGGTGGCTGACTAAATACTTGTTTTCCCCACTGTAATTGTACAATTATCATCACCAATGTAACATCGACGTTACACTAGCAGTGCTGAAGGACACTTGACGTAGAGTATACAGTAATTATTTGGGGATTTGAACTTGCAACTTCTTGGTTGGGAGTGGATCGATGTTTCTGCAGTGCCACCAGGGTCAGACGTATTGCTTGGGACACATATTAACATATTAAAAATAAGGCTATGGTTAGGGTACAGTGTTGTTGAAATCTCATATGTGAAATATTGCAAAAACACATGGGTTTCACATGATTTCACATTATTCAGCCATGTGCTGTTGTTCTTCTAACCTCGGCCACTCCTCTCACACTCACACACACACACACACACACACACACACACACACACACACACACACACACACACACACACACACACACACACACACACACACACACACACACACACACACACACACACACACACACACACACACACACACCCCATGTGCGTGTGTGTGTGCCTGGATGCATCCCATGCCTGCCAGTGGAACAGAACCCCATTACCTTATTAGCATTAAGATACCATAACATTATCACAGAGCGTATTCTCTGTATTCTCTCTATTGTTGTCACAGAGACACAGTTCCCCGTGTGTACTGTGTTACAGTAATCATGTCGTCCATTTGCTCTTGATGAAAAGAGAGATTAGCAGGTTTACAACCTCTCGCTTGTTTGTCTTTGAAGATCTTTTGTCTTCCCTCTCTTCATCTCTCTGTGGAGCTCCATACCCCCACTCTCCCGCCGCTCCTAGGCTATGGGGACTAGCCCGAGCAGCCCCTGTGCAGGGTATTGATCCTGGAGGAGTGGGGGGTAAAGTGTGAGAGAGAGGAGGGGGTACGATGGGCCTGGGTCTCAGCTGGGCCGAGGGTAGCAGGTGGGGTTTGGGGAAGCCTCTGGAGTCCCATCACCCCCGTGCTGTGTGTGTGTGTGTGTGTGTGTGTGTGTGTGTGTGTGTGTGTGTGTGTGTGTGTGTGTGTGTGTGTGTGTGTGTGTGTGTGTGTGTGTGTGTGTGCTCAACGGAACTGTATGTGTGTCTGTGTGTGTTGGACTGAGCGCCCACTC